TATTTACTCATTTTTATACTATAATGTGTATGTTATATTGACTCACTTTCATACTATACTGTTCATGTTATATTGACTCACTTTTATACAATACTGTTCATGATATGTGGTGATCGTATTTCAGTCCAGTTTGTATTATTTTCTTGAGCTTCGGTCTCTTTGTTTCTCAGTCATGTAAATGTTGTTTGTTTGTTTTTCTTTTTAAGTCACAGTTTTTTAAAAATAAAGATATTTATATTTAGTCCTATCAACGATGGCGTCGTATTATGTTTTGACGAAAACATGTTTGTAAGTATGAAGTACCGACCTAAAGAGTATATATGACGATGATTCAAATCACTCGTCATGCAAAATCAACAATATATTTATTAATATTCATTAAGCATAATTATAAAGGAGCAATTTGTAATAATTACAGATTTCAAGATAGTGATCGATTATGCTGTGATCAATTTTAGCAGGTACGTTTACAGAGGGAGAATGCTTATGTCCATTTTTCCTTGCAAATATATCACTTAATATTTATTCTAACTATAAACATTCGTTTATTTCTGTCCGTAAACCTATTTACCTATAATCACATTTTTGTCGACTTATCAAAGGGATTTATGAAAATTAGATGGACTAGATGGAAACGAGACCTCCTGACCCGGTCCATTGCCATGGTACCGACCATTGTAGTGGCTCCAATAGCAACCAATGACCTTGACACTATGAATAACTGGCTGAATGTTCTTCAAAGCGTTCAGTTACCGTTCGCCCTATTACCTATACTATATTTTACCAAAAGTTCGAGGATAATGGGTGAATTCAAGAACGGAAGGTAACTGTTATTTAGCTTTCCTTACTTGATCAATGTATGCTGCCTTTTGAATCCGTAGTATTTAATTCAAAACCACTGCACGGAAAGAAATTGTTCGATTATTTAGCAAGGAACAGTTTCACATATGTATCCATTACAATAAATGTTTGTTAATCGAGTTGATTTCATGAGACTGTCGTGATAAAATTAACTTTCCGAATCAGTTGAAAGCTTAATGTTGCTTATAAACAAAATCCCTCGAAATAATAGCAGGCTAGTACACTTGATAGTCATTAATGTAAAAACTGGGACAAAAGAAATCTGTCAATCAAACCGTGTTATTTCAAAGAAGTAAACGACGCTGATGGATATGTAGTTTATTTTTAATTAATTAATCACGTTTTTTCGATCAGTACAAACATGAGTTGATCTTGAAGTGGCCGGAATAGGCAAATTTTGTATCACTAAGTACCGTTTATGAGAGTAAAGTAGTGACTAAATTTTTTTTTTGTCATTAGCAGTTTTAATCCCCATAAAAATATTTTTCCTATGGCGAATGTAAATTTTATTATTTACGGATTCACTTTTTCATAATTTTTTTTTAGGACGGTGAGGACTTAACGGTTGTTCTTAATAATATGTTTAACTCATGACTATACAAGATGCCAATGTGTTTACATTGCAAAAACTTCTTTTGTGCTCGTAGTGTTTGTAGTTGTATTACTTTCTTAAATCTTGTTGCGTTTATCAAGATAAATTAATCCCGATACGTACAATGTATATCGCATTTTTCACATAATAACTGTCATCGTGCGGACAATATCAGTAGAAATACTATTCCCTTTCCTAATTCAATGTATAACTATATAAACAAAAAACTAATTTAAGAAAAAACAAATAAAACATAAAAGGTAGCATAAACACAAGTTTGTTTTGGGATTCGAACCTAATACCCTTGCATGACAGGTCGTCATGCTTAGCACTAGACCAAACACATGGCTAAACGGCAGATTTAATATATTGATCATGATGTTATCCATCTCAGATGAACGCATATCAAAAGTAATTTTCGTGATCCACTCAAGTAAATTATCAACATTATTGTTTTGGAACATTGACTATTTAACGGGCTTGAATTAAATAAATATTGATATTGTATGGAGGTACCAGTTCTCATATAACGTGAGAAGCTTTCGGAATACAATTTGTTTGAATCACTGTTCACCTGCTTGAATGTAATTCTTCTACTGAAACACAAATATGGAAAACTTAAAATAAACGGCGTTTTGTAGTTTAGTGCTTTCTCCACAGTAATTCAATTAAAGTATTGTAAGGACCGAGGCAATTGGAAGATATAGAATTTCCAAAAGACACAACACAGAATGCAACTTTGTCGGACCCATTTGGGGGATTCGAGGAGCCCACGCGCTTTCGGTCGCGATTTGGAACTCAGTCTACCGAACCATTAGGGCTTGTATCTACATTACTCGCCTCTCATGCCACGATGGAGGGTACACTGGGCCCAATGATCCCTGACCCTGCATGACTCACAAAATTAATAAAAAAAATATTGCCCACTTCCATATAGGTCTATATCTTACATTAAGCGAAATCTCTCTCTCTCTCTCTCTCTCTCTCTCTCTCTCTCTCTCTCTCTCTCTCTCTCTCTCTCTCTCTCTCTCTCTCTCTCTCTCTCTCTCTCTCTCTCTCTCTCTCTCTCTCTCTCTCTCTCTCTCTCTCTCTCTCTCTCTCTCTCTCTCTCTCTCTCTCTCTCTCTCTCTCTCTCTCTCTCTCTCTCTCTCTCTCTCTCTCTCTCTCTCTCTCTCTCTCTCTCTCTCTCTCTCTCTCTCTCTCTCTCTCTCTCTCTCTCTCTCTCTCTCTCTCTCTCTCTCTCTCTCTCTCTCTCTCTCTCTCTCTCTCTCTCTCTCTCTCTCTCTCTCTCTCTCTCTCTCTCTCTCTCTCTCTCTCTCTCTCTCTCTCCTCTCTCTCTCTCTCTCTCTCTCTCTCTCTCTCTCTCTCTCTCTCTCTCTCTCTCTCTCTCTCTCTCTCTCTCTCTCTCTCTCTCTCTCTCTCTCTCTCTCTCTCTCTCTCTCTCTCTCTCTCTCTCTCTCTCTCTCTCTCTCTCTCTCTCTCTCTCTCTCTCTCTCTCTCTCTCTCTCTCTCTCTCTCTCTCTCTCTCTCTCTCTCTCTCTCTCTCTCTCTCTCTCTCTCTCTCTCTCTCTCTCTCTCTCTCTCTCTCTCTCTCTCTCTCTCAGCTACGAAAGATGACTCCAAAAGCAGCAGGCATCTTAAATCAATAGAGAAAATCTTGTTTCAGCTTAAATCTCTCTATTCGAGATTGAAGAAAAGCTGTGCTTGGGGTGAAGAAAACCGATCACTGATCACCTCTGTATAATTCATTAAGCGAGCAATTATTACATTTTTGTAGAAAAATACAATGATAGCGGCTCGTTTCAGAACACTACAAAGCGTATGAATCTGCATAATTCTTCATTTTTGAAGTACTTTTAAAATAGCTCCACACTTTTTATGTATTTTGCAATTTATATTTATAAACATTACATCTTAAGAGCACTATTGATACTCAAATAAAAATCACGTGGTAGTAAAAATGACATATTTTTCAAAAAGTATCAAAATTCTTGAAACATAGTGTAATTTAAAAACTATTCTTCTCTCGTTATGACAATAATATTCTATATACAAAATATACAAGAAACATAAATCTACAGCGACTACACAACCGCCTTTTTATCTCCCTTTGTATAAGGTGTCTGCCATCATTGGATCTACTTTCTTTCTGTGTACATCATATAATTTTATTTGTTGATTGATAAACGGACGTATTTAGTTTTTCTTACATAATTAGTTAATTAATTAATTTATGTGTTTATTAAACAGTATACATTCAAGTGTGCAATGCAAAAATATTACATAACATTTTTATGAAAAGCTTTAGAATTAATAACAGAAAATATAGAATGTGATTGTAGGTAAATATATAAACATTCTGACCTGCTGATGGAAAAGAGATCATTTCATTTGTAATAAAACCTTTCAATTATAGACAATATGAAGATATTAATAAAAATAATGCACTGTTAGAAATAGACAGAAATAGGTGAGGAAAATAAAATTTTTGCCGAGAATTACTGACTTCAGACACGAACTGAATTAATCAGATTAACACACACACACACACACACACACATATATATATATATATATATATATATATATATATATATATATATATATATATATATATATATATATATATATATATTAGAACTTAATTAAGACAACAATACAACGTGTACAACAAAGCACTGTTAATTTGAATAGCGTACCAATAATAATATTTGTAATAAATTTTTAAGAATATGGAATTTAAAGTAAAGACGAATGGTCCATAGCAGTACGTATTATAAAGTAAAGACGAATGGTCCATAGCCGTACGTATTATAAAGTAAAGACGAATGGTCCATAGCAGTAAGTATTATACCAATATCCGCTATACGAATATGGCAGTGGAAATAACTACCAAAATGGAAAGATATACACACATTATTGAGAATGATGTCAACAGTAACAAGTCTAGAGAGGCAAATTGGAAACATTTACATAAGTATAAAAGACACGTTTCTTCAACTGTCACACTTTAAATTTCTTTATATTTTCTCTGTCTGTCTGTCTGTCTGTCTGTCTGTCTGTCTGTCTCTCTGTCTGTCTGTCTCTCTGTCTGTCTCTCTCTCTCTCACACACACACAGCATGCGTACAACTATTTGTTTATTTATAGACAACTTATTGCACACATGATTAAAAAGAAATGCTCTAATATGTGTCAAGCAAAATTAAATACCACAACTTTCTTGCAGGATCCTAAGGACTGCAGTATGGGCACTTGTCGTGCTAGTGATAGGGGTAATTTTCTATCTCATAGCGCTATTCCTGGTACGTATGTTCTTGACTTTTACTTTGTCTATTTTTTTAATCGATGATATACGCTATTACTGAAGAGATATGAGGCAGAAAATAAGACACGGAAGAGTGATACAGCTATTTAAAGATCAGTGATTTATGTACAGCAGGTGTAAGAATGGTGATAAGATCTCGATATTGAACTGGCAGTCATATTGCTTGGAAGAATGCTGTAAAATCACAACAACATCAATCACTCTCCTTTCTCCATAAACCGCTCCGGTGGCCTAGTGGTTAGAGCGTCCGCCTCGGGAGCGGGAGGTCGTGGGTTCGATCCCCGGTCGAGTCATACCAAAGACTTACAAAAATGGTACTAACAGCTGCCTCTCTTGACGCTCAACATTAAGAGGTTAGTGTTACGACTGGTCGGCCTGGTGTCAGGATAATGTGACTGGGTGAGACATAATGCTATATGTTTGCGGCATGATGCCCCAGTGCTAGACATCATGTTATTGATTTATTGATTCAGGGGCCCCGAGTTGCTGAGTGGTCTGAAGGGCTGACCGTTACGGATCACTGCAATCTCACCTCTGTCTGGGTGAGTTCGAATTTAGACATAGCTAACTTGGGTAAGTGAGAAAGCGTGCGAGTAGTTTCTAGTGAGTCGGTGGTTCTTCCTCCACCATTAATACTGGCTGCCATGTATAGCCTATATTGTGCTGAACATGGCGTTAAACCCTACAACAACTACAACAATAACAACAACATTTGGTTCATATATTAATTGTAGCTAGTCAATTTAAAGTGACCCACTGAGTGATATGTAAGCGTACACTATGATTTACCACCATCCTGGCGGCCTTTTGTTCGCTAGTAAAGGGTTATCAATTCATGGTATTCACGTCTCTGACAGATGTAGATATCTGGTGCTTTATCACATCTCTGACAGATCAAGATATCTAGTGCTTTATCACATCTCTGACAGATGTAGATATCAATTGCTTTAGATAATTGGCCTCTTGAAAATAAAATGTTACCGCCTATATCAAGCAAATGTAATATGTTAAAGCCTATATCAAGCAAATGTAATATGTTACTACCTAAATCAAGCAAATGTAATATGTTTCTGCCTATAGCCTATATCAAGCAAATGTAATATGTTACTGCCTGTATCAAGCAAATGTAATATGTTACAGCCTATATCAAGCAAATGTAATATGTTACTGCCTTTATCAAGCAAATGTAATATGTTACTGCCTATATCAAGCAAATGTAATATATTACTGCCTATATCAAGCAAATGTAATATGTTACAGCCTATATCAAGCAAATGTAATATGTTAAAGCCTATATCAAGCAACTGTTTGGAATGAATCGGCAGATATGCATCTATTTTGCTAATCTTTTCTTTGACAATTTCTTTAAATGACTAATGTGACTTCTTTTTCTCTATAGCAAATACTGTCGACATTGATTATGCCAAACCATTAACATGTTCCCTATGTCTTAGTATGACAGGCTATCTTGGTTAAGATCGTAATTATCGCATAGATGAACGGAATTATCAGGTATTTTTAAATATTATTAAATGTGATATAAGTACACAGCTTATTGGAGGTCATTTGATATATTATATTCATTTATAAAGTGTTTATTTACGCTTGAGTTTCAAGTATTTCAATAAATATATCATAGTTTTGTACACAGTAGTTGTGTTTGCATGACTTCTATCGCTTCTATAAATCCAGACATTTTCTGAAAGCGGTAAAATAGTGCAATTGTAAAGCAGGTGTGGCGCGACAGTCCATTTCGCGAACGGAATAAAGAATGTTTCGTTGTCTTGGCATATTTGCTTTGATGTTCATGGAGTACTTTTTAACCCTAAACCACCTTCTTTAGTATAGTTTCACCCAATTATTTTTTGGACTGACTTAGAAATATGGGACGTCTTTTACGGAGAAGAGCTAGTCACTTGAGGGTTCATATGATAGTCTGAACCATTTGGTTTGGAAATAATTATGAATTGATCTGATGTTTAGATTATCAGACTGGTATTTTCAACACGCTTTGTTGCACGTTTGTTGTAAACATTGGTGATATCATCTTCATTCGAATGCATGGTTTCAAGTTTTCATTTTTACTTTTGATTTCGTCCACATCGTCAACAAAATCTTAACTACATTCACATAGGCAAACACAGGTTGCTTAGTTCATCCACATAAAACATCTAATAAATCAAAATCTTCAGCGTCATAAGTGTACTTTATTTTTCGAGCAAAATCAGTTTATAACAGACGACACTAATTTTAAACATACGTGTAGTACGCTTTGTAGTAGAGCAATGTGTAAGAATACAATCTAACCTTAACGGATACAAAATGGGCAAATTAGTGTAGAACGTCCGTATTATGACAAGTAGATATCTTAATACTTAATTGTAAATATGCATGCCAAATCGTTATATGATAATGCTGATGTCAGATTTGATGAACATGTTACGATTTGGCTATAATGCGTGATACATTTAGATTGTTTGGATATTAGTAATTATAATGTTGTTGAATTAGATTGAATCATATGCTACTCTTGTCACCGGTTGATGATAATACCCTGGAATGAATTTGTGTGCAAGATGCAAGAGTTGTCGTTCGTTGAATCACAATATTGACACATAAACTGTACTTGGCTTCTTGTGTGTGTTACTGTGTGCGTGTATGTGTGTATGAGAAGAGAGAAATTTTGACAGAAATAGAGAGTACGTTAATAAAGTGTACTTCTTATTATTGTACGGGCGTAAGATTATAATTGTGAATAATGAAAGAGGGAATATAAGACTGTATTGAAAGTAAACGCATATACAATTAGAAATTTTATATCTGTATGTTCAATTGTGAGCATGTGTTTTGTGTTTACATATCAACTTTGTGAAGTCTTATGTTTGACTAGTGTATACATCTACAACATTTAGATGACTTGTAAGTAGGTGCGTATTCTATCACTTTTAAAATAATTACAGTTGTGTAGAAGGATGTAAATTAGTGCTATTAAGATTTATCCTTTGCTATAATGTTTTGAAATTTAAAAATTTCGCTCATGATCAAATGAAATTAAGTTCTAAAATGGTAACTTTCTTTTTCTAATACTTGGCTATAAGTTACAGTAATATTCAAGAAGTCGGCAATTTTGATATATGTACTTATTTTGCATATAAAGTACATTCTAATAATTAGCTTGATGTTAGTTTTCTGACAATAATAAATTAGTACTCCGTAAAATGCATTCATAAATCTTCATAAATATTTTATAGCCCGTATCGACTCGAGTATTCATAATGAATATTGTCTATCAATCGAAAGAAGAAACTTATATTAAATATCAATGATATTTATTATATACTAAAGTGTGATACATTGAAATTTGTTGGCGAAATAAGATTCGTATTTTATTCCTATCTTTTGCATGTGATAAATATATCCCCGTTTTCACTTATGAAAATATATGATTTACCATCAGGTCTTCGCTTGCGTATCTGTGCCTACAATTTGCATCAACAAAAGTACATTGTTAGCTAGAACAAATAAATAAAAACTGCATAACGTTTCAAACATGGTAATTAATTTTTGATAATGAAATCTTAACAGACACAGTTAGCGTGTCGCCTAAGTTATCTGCCCTTACTCCTTACTTCTTTGACAACCACTACTAAAGCCGGTAGTGATGCATTGCTGAATTGGACATGCATTGTTTCCATAGTAATGCATTGCTGAATCGGATATGCATTGTTTCAATAGTGATGCATTGCTGAATAGACTATGCATTTTTTTCCAGATAGGGTCAAATAGTTTACAAAATTAAATGAAAAATGTCATTCATGGTGAGAGATTTTGTCAATCCAATCTTATCACAATCGTTCTTCACGCATATTTGTATGATCAGAAAATGAAATTGAGGTGAATTTACACAAAGGGGTGGGTTGCGTGTTGTTGTGTCTATGAGCCAATTTAATATTTGGTTTTCTAAGTAGATACCAAATATAATTAATTTGTGAGGTACCAAAACCTTCTTCACTCGAAGTAGCGTGCTTTGGTACCACACGATAAATCGTATCGGGTATTGACATAGGTATAGACGTATCATATGAATATTTCATCTAAATGGCTAATGGTTTTGTGTATAAAATGGACATAATCAAATATAAATTGGATATTGAATCCTTATCCAGCACAGGGAAGAGAAAGTGGATATAGGTGGCGTGTGTTACATTCAAACGATTTTTTCGGATCTGGAAAATTTTGACACCTTATATTAGTTGGTGGGGGGTCATTTGGCATCATACATTCATTTTTAACTCAGCTCATACATACGGATTGTTCAAATTATTCCTCGCAAATATACGAAAACGAGTGGTTCTTAGGCTACATGTTTAAATAAATTCTGCTCAGTCTATTATGGGCAACAAAAGAGAATTGATCACACACATTTCTGTATTACCGCGTGTAAAGACAGCGATTTAGTATGGTCGAGGACTCAAATGGTTTAATTGCAGAGAAACTGAGCACCAATGTGCTCCTGATTTATGAACTGATATCCTTTTCCACGCCAAAACTATGAGATACATCTAGAATCAAACTCAAGTATATTGTGCAACTGAACGTTTAACCCACTATTCAATCTATATTCACATCGCTAAGTTCCAAGAGTATGTTGCTATTAAATTGGCTGCGGATGATGTTATCTCTCCGCTTGTTCTTTTATATGGTTCTTGCGTAATGGTAGCTTATATACAAATGGATGCCATTTTAGTTATTTAAATGATATTGCAATACTTAGCATTTCCTACTCATTTCTGTCTTTATTGTTACTTTCAATAATATTCCTTCAATTGAAAATACTGAAAATTGACAGAAGTCTCCTTTAATTTGTTTTTATTCTATCTCAATTGTGTCCGAGACTAACATGAATTTTTTATATGCTCTCATTGCTATTTATCTAGATGCATACTGTCTTTCTTAGCTCTAAATGCGAATTGAGAGAAAGGATTTTGTGATAATGAATTTCTATAGAGACAAAGATAGAGGGGATGCCATAGCATGGGACGTGATTTTGGTAGCTATAACCCATGTGCACTACAAATTATACCTATCAAACATAATTCTCACAGATAATGAGTTGTCTTTTCAGTAAATATGAAAACGATTTCAGATTGTAAAAGCCATTAAACGTGTTGGGTTTATAACATTATAATTTATGAGCTTAATAGCACAGTAAACGACTCCTTAAAATGTATTTCCTTCTTTGATTCTCTTCCAGAAGAAAGATTTTAACAATGTCTGATACAAATCTATGAAC